CATGTCCTTTCTAAATAAATTAAAACTGATACATTCATTCTCATTGCCACGTCCCTTCTCAATAAATTAAAACTGGCACATTCATTCTCATTGTCACGTCCCTTCTAAATAAATGAAAGCTGAGACATTCACTTTCATTGTCACGTCCCTTCTAAATAAATTAAAACTGACACATTCACTTTCATTGTCACGTCCCTTCTAAATAAATGTAAACTGACACATTCATTCTCATTGTCACGTCCCTTCTAAATAAATGAAAACTGAGACATTCACTTTCATTGTCACGTCCCTTCTAAATAAATTAAAACTGAGACATTCACTTTCATTGTCACGTCCCTTCTAAATAAATGAAAACTGAGACATTCACTTTCATTGTCACGTCCCTTCTAAGTAAATTAAAACTGAGACATTTACTTTCATTGTCACGTCCCTTCTAAATAAATTAAAACTGACACATTCACTTTCATTGTCACGTCCCTTCTAAATAAATTAAAACTGACACATTCACTTTCATTGTCACGTCCCTTCTAAATAAATGTAAACTGACACATTCATTCTCATTGTCACGTCCCTTCTACATATATAAAGTGTTTTTTTTAAATACTATTCCTGATAAAAATCAGCAAGCAGATAAGACAGATAATTTCAAACATCATTATTCACTGGCATGGCACTCTGCCTTATTCAACGGCCGGCCGTAATCCGCTTGGTCACTAACAGAGAATAACAATCTACAGTCACAATTGAACGCTAGTTACACTTACGATTTCTTGAAAGGCTAATTTCTTTGGGCGGTCACGCACAACATTTTGAGTTGTCCCATGACACCTGGGATATCAACCTGTGTAATTACTACTGCTTATCCCCTTAAATTATAACATTGCATTGTGGTCTGAATGTCAGAGTACAAAGCCTACATACACATTTATAATTTTTCATTTTCCTTATATTTTATATTGAAATATTATTTTAACAACAGCAAATTTAATACATGCATATTGATTTTCTAAAAATAAAAAAGGAGATTGAGCAAAACCTGAAAACACATTTTGTAATACAATTCACTACAATCATAGAACACACAGAAACCCTACCCATAAAAAAAAAAGAGCTGTGGGAATAATAATAAAAATACAATTTCCACAGAAACTCTAGTTTCATATAAAGAAATTACTGTCAATATATACTTTTTTTCATACGCTACGATACTCAAAGTACAGATTTGAGACAATACCAAAAAAATTGAATTAGTGGCTGGTAAAACACCCTAGTGGTAGTGGCATAGTGCCTTGTTCAATAGTCCCACAAGCCAAATAAAAACTTACGTAAAATACTGTAGAATACTTTTTTTTCGCTTGGAATTTATTTTCGCTGAAGGGATGATTCCGTGAAAATAAAATCCAGCAAATGTACTTTTTTTTCCCTAAATTTCACATTAAACTCATGAAAAATCAGTGAAAATAAATTCCAAGCAAAATGACCAAAAAGCCTTTTCAGCAAAAATTATTAATTCCAGCGAAAATAAAGTATTCCACAGGAACATAAAAATTCGAATGCATGCTATGCAACAACTGTGTCACTTAAATTTGCTAGAACGTAAAAACTCGTAATTCGTTATTATTGAAACAAATTATATTTAAAATGATCGGTAATGTTAACATGGCAACGTTTATAGGTTATTTGATGTAAATATTAATTATTCAATTCTTACTTCTATTTTATGAATTTATAACACTATTCCTCTAGCACACAGCCGTGTGACCCACATTCACATATTACTACAGAGTCTGAGAAACATAGCCATGGCAACAAATCTATGTATGGTGTATACAAATGCGTTCTTACAATACTGTACATTATAGAGTAAGGTGGGTAGGTGGTCGAGCCATTTTTAATAACAATAATCTTCATGCAATAAAACAGGAATTTGATGTTAATCTAACTACAATGACATATTTTTCTAAATTTATCTTAACTGAGCAGCTGTAGTTAGGGCTTGACCATTAAGAAATCGGGGGGGGGGGCAAAAAAAATAATGTGTTCAGAGAAAATTATGAAAAAAAATCTATAGGGGAAGTTACAGGAAAGGAAAACATTTTTGAGAAAAAAAAAAATCCTACAAATATAATTTAGAGAAAATCCAAAAAATGAAAGAAAAAAGAACAGCAACATGATTATTGTGATAAAAAAATGATGTAGCTTAAAAACTATATAAAAAAAATATGTACTGGTAATAGCCCCCCCCCCCCAGAAATGGTCAACCCCTCAAATTAGCTAAAATAACAGACTAAACTAATTGAATATAACTTTATTCGTGAAAATCTCGAAATTTGATAATAGTGAAATCATGAAATGTAATTACCACAAATGTATTTAAATAATGAAATATCAGCGAAAATTTAACACAACTGAATATGACATTAAATTAATATTTTCACCTCCTAAAATTATAATTAGTCTGTTCCTCAAAAATAGAGCAGTATCCCAACTTTGACCAGTGACAAAGGCAAAATCAAAGATCACAATGGAGCAATCTGGTTAACATTATGATCACAATTCTCACGCTGATAAATATTAAATTTCTGTTTTGTTTTGAGTTTAAACTGTTTGTATAAAATTACATACGGATATATTATCTATTTTCAAATATAATCAAGTATTTTTAATTTGTTTCCTGTTCACACCACTATGCGTCTTCCTATTTCTTGTTTTCTGTTCTCAATTTTCACATTTACTAACAATCAAAGTAGACCAGAGAGCTCCCAGCACCAATAATACCACTACTACTGTATTAACTCTATTTGAAGTGCATGAACTAACTTACCGGTAAATGACAGAGTAGTGTTTCGATGTTCAAAATAATTTTAATGATCAATAACACAATAAATGTAATCTTTGGTTTATTAGCACTTAGGTAGGCTTCTAAAAGACTAAGAACAGATACAGTATACAAAAAATGCACTTGTAATAAAAACTGTGCAATTCAGTATTTGGAATTGAAACCACAGGTAAAAATACTTGCACAAAATCCTTCCACACAGCCCTTTGTGGAGCTTGGCACATTATATTTAAATAGTACTACTGATATCAAGCTTCAAACACTAAAGGTAAAACTGGATTTTTATTTTAAAAAGAAATTTGAATATATTAATGATTAATCCCATGAACGGGAGTGTGATTTTTTTGTTAGAATAAAATTAAATTCCAACTTGGATTTCGCGATGGTTACAGAACAATGGTTGAATTGAGTTGAATTAATCAAAGTAACCAAAAAACTGGGAAAATTGAAAGAAAGGATTTTCTGCATTTTGAAATATAAACCAGTGACCTTGTGGCATTATTTCCTTTGCAAACATTTTAACAAGTTGTTAACTGCAGGATAATGATTGTTATACCAGGTAGGGGATAACAGAACACTGGAATAAACAGATCAAATTACTAATTACATGCCCTCTTATATCCTGGCATAGATGCCTTGCAAGTGACAGGATGTTTTCCTGAATTATTCTTTTTTATTTAAATATATTATTGATCAAATCAGTTTTAGCATGTGTTTATCATCACTCTCGAACAAAGAGAAAATCAGTCATGCCTTTATTTACATTACCCAGTCCTTCAAACTTAATAAAAAATAAAAATCAGCAATAATAAAAAAACATTATACACGAATTACAGCGACCAGTGATGTCCAACCCCCTTTTTAAAAAATAAATCATTGGTCTTTCCCTCAAGTTCAGAAACCTGATCTCCTGCATCCAATCGATTGTTTAAATGGAAAATCAATGCCACTATTAAAACCAAGAACTGACGCTAGAGATTTTTGATACAACAAAAATGATACCTTGAAGACATGAAGATGATGGGACCACCCAAAAAGTCAATAGTTCAGTTTACAAGATTGTACTCGTACACACTGGCAGCTACTAGACTTATCAGACATCTAGAATCAGTGTTATCCGGTTACGTTGTTTTTGTACAGTGTTCTCAACATGCTGGGTGAGGGAAATTGCTTTACCCCAACTGTTCCTAGCAAACATCTTTCACACACAAACCTTCCGCTCTCCGGAAAATCTGTCAAATTTCGAACTGTAATTTATTCAAAATTAATTAATTAAAAGTGATTTAAATTAATTATTTAACTGTTCCTCAATCAGCGGAATGTTTGTTTGTTCTTTGCGTACGCGGCTTATATATTTAATTAAAAACGTTGTTGAACTTTGTAGCATAGCTGTTCGGGGCATACGCATTCTGCGAAAATGACTCGGCGAATTTTCTGAATTATGAAAGTATAATTTTAAATATATTTAATTTCGGATACGGTATGCAGCAGGTCCTTCTAAATGACAGCTGGCCTTGACAGTTACCCACGTTTCAAACAATAGAATTTAAGGCTATCTCTTTCGTGGTCAATAGAACGCGGAGCTAATAGCGAGCCCAGATGTTGCGTTATTTACAAAAAGACTGCAACATGTGTATCATTTGGACGCACATCACAAAATACATGTCCCGAGGCGAACCTGGAAAACGAGCAGCGCTCTGTCAGCGATGTACCAACTGATTGATATTCGGTGGTCTGCAAAGATATCGCTCTAGTATTTGATAAGATAATTTGTGTACAAGTCAGACAGACATGCTTATAGTGACATACTAGACTCCGATTTGACTATTACATGCAAGACAGCTGGCGACCTTCGCAGCATGGTCGGCGATATAGAAACAGATCTCACAGTTTCACGCAAAACGTACACACATCCGACTGTGACTTTAAATTCGTGGACCGAAAGGTCTACGGTGTATTTGTAATTTAGCCTGGGAAGTCATCAATAAATCCACTTTGATGCAATTACACGTAAACAATAGTTCATGCAATCATTCGCAAGGCCCTTAGTTTTTACTTTTTTTCACGTTGACAGACTTGCGCAGGCCAAACATAACACCGCCTGTTTTTCAGAAAAAAAGTTTAGAAAACCAATTTGAAGGTCAATAAACAAGCCACTTACCTGTTTTGTAAATGGATACGAGTTCAATCTAATTCCCTCGGCTACTAATTTATCACGGACCATCATTTTTAGCTGCAATTTGGGGTAAGAAGTTCGTCCGGGGTGTTTACCCCGACGACCGCCTGAGTAGGTATAATAATCTTCGTCCTTGTCGAGCATATCATCGCCGCTAAGTTCCCTCTCTCTGTCAGAATCAGACGACTCCCCTGTAGGCTCCAGCGTAAAATATACCTGCGTTCCACCCTCCTCTTTCAACCGGGAGACCGCATCTAAAATGTCCATTCGGTGGTCGGGGTGTTCAACGCCGATCGCATCCAGATCGGGCTGTCCAACTTGTTTGCAAATTTCCAGATCGTCGTAGCCGTTGTCGATGAACGCCTCGGCGTACTGTAACATGTCCAGCGACCGCAGCCACTCGTGGACAATATTAGTCGCCATATTTACTCAGGACTGGCCCCCAGCTCGACTGACACTTTGAAGTTTAACTCATTGTAGCGAAATTCCGATGGGAAACAGAGCAACAAACTTCACACTTGCTTCTCATTTCTTAGGGACAGGGAGCTCGTAGCTGAGTTCACGCCTGCGCACTGCTCCGATGTGACGTCATTGTTTGGGATATTCCCTTCCATTGGTTCACAGTGAGCAAATTTTAACTTATGCCAAGATTTAAACGTTTTCCCAACTTCTTATCAAATGTTATGCAACACACAGGGAGTATTCTATGGTATATATCGAGATACTTGCCGTAAACGTATTTGATCGCAATTCTCTAGGACTTGTTAATGGTTCTGTTCTGTTGATGTTTATTTTTCAAGATATAAATTACGGTACTTGTATAATATTGTTGCCGTTGTTTCACCGGTCTGACGCAGCAAATAATTCCGTGACCAGTAATAGAAATTGATCGATTAAATTAAATTAAAATAAATTCATAATTTCTTTATTCCGTTCGAACCACCTATTACTTAATTGTGTTTGGTCACTTAATGCCCGAGTGGTTAATTAACATTTTTATCAAGCCTACTGTACTGCAGTACATGAGAATTGCCAAATTTATTGGAAAAATTAAATCACAAATAACGTAATCAAGAAAGTATGTGATTGAATAATGTGCCAATATTTGCACATGGGACCCGATGCAGCAACGATGCATGTCTAGTGTGTAACGATAGAGGGCGACATTTTCAGTACTGATTTAACTTGCAAATTCGTTTCAGGCGGTTGACTCGTATAAAACGCCCTCAGTACTTAGTGGTTGTTTTTGGTTTATTGCGTTTTTGTTGACGTTTGCCCAAAATGTCCAAAAACACTACCCGAAGTGTGGTTAATGAGATCAAAACACGGACAGGGTATTGTCAGAAGCGGACATCCGGGCATTTTCACTGCCTGGCAACCATCACGATGAAAACAAAAGCCGAAAGCTCCGAGCCTCAGAAAACTGTACTTTGGGATAGTTGGCGATATTGAACAACGTAACTAGATTACCCCTATATGTGCAACATATATAAATCTGGGTTGTTTAACATTGCTGGATTGCTGTTTCCTCGACTTTATCTGTTTTGACATTCGCTGTGACGTTCCACAGCAGCTTGCGCAGAGCCCCATGAAAATCATACATATACAGTGGTCTTAGCAACATAGAACGTTCTGTGACGTAGATCCGCCCCAAGAAAATCATCATACCCATGATGATAAGTAAACCCATTGTAAAATCCTGCACGGGATTTGAACGTCAAAAAACAGCCTTGTACAGGTATGCGGGGGGCACCAAAGACCCAATGGGGAGAACAAAAACGCAACAAGTGCGAGTTTTGGAGAAATCTTGATTAAAAATACAATATTGGCATAACCAGACGTACATTACTTGGGCTTTGCAACTACGTTAACATGATACCAAGATCCCGTTACAATCTCGCTCTCGCATAAGCGTTCCAACTCCGAAAAATCCGAATGCGCAGGCCCGAGGTAACTAGGATACTGGGATGTCCAGGTGGATCAAAATATGATATGATATGATGGATTACGATAACTATATGTTTTGTACATTTTCGATGTATTACATTTTTTCACTATGAATATGGTAATACATGTTTTATTGTTTTATTACAAACCGCCTATGTCATGTCAGAAAGTAGTAGCATCAGTCTCGCTATCTACTAGTCTCGCTTGCCAGACCTCTGGTCTGACTGAGTTTTACGAAAGGACGCCTCTCGCCAGAGGTCTGGCAAGCGAGACTAGCTATCTACGAGACAGACTTGAATGGGATCTTGGCATGATGTCACCATACAGTACTATGTGCGTTGCAAACCCCAAGTAATATACCTCTGGCATAACTTATATGAAAGCCGTTTCTATTTTGAGTAACTTAGTCCAAAATCAAATATAAAAGTGCAGACGTATGCGGGATATGCTTAAACTCATAGTTGCGGGATATGCTGCTCGAAAGCTGACGTAAGACTGCGCCATTTGTCAACCGAGTTATTGTTTGTCTTCGCAACAATACATTATTGTTGTTTGAATTCTGTTTCGAGTGATGTAAAGTTCTTTGCTCACCCCAACGCAGTGGTAACACGAGTGAAATAGTTGTCTCATAATATCGGGCTCTAATGATCGGGAAAACCATTAAAGGGACATGGTGTGCATCTCAGATTAATATTAATGGGAAATGCTGCACGTGGATTGCTGCATCGTCGGTCGTCAAACGCCGCGGCGTACATTTCTGAATTGAACATATACCCGATAACACTTACTTCACGCGCGACTGTGTCATTGAACCAACAAATACCTACATGCCTTTTGAAAGTACTTACAGTGCCTAATACGTCGTCTATCGTGTCCCGGGACAACATCTTTGGTAGTAATTATATATTGAAGCTGGGACAGAAGTTGGAAAAGAAAAGAGAATTCCAGTTTGTCAGTGCAATTTCACGACCAAGCGCTCTCGTAAAAGACAACATAAAAAGGAGTACTTTTCCAGATAAATGATAATATTTATTTGTCTTTACGAATATCGTATACATCTAATGCTATCGTGTGACGACTCAGACATATGAATCAATGTTTTGTCAATAAAGAAACGATATTGATGCCGACTACGATAACCACAGTCAATCCTGCGTGACGTCACTTCCGTGCGCGTAAAATATCCTAACTTTATCTCGGCATTCATGTCGCGCGAGTAGCAGGTTTATAACTGTCTCCTTTCTCCTGTCGTCAGTACAATCAAGTTCAGGTTCCCTGATCAGTAATATAGCAATTAATTTCAATATGAGTAACTATGACCACTAAGTCCACCGCCAAGGTCAAAGTCCTAAAGGTGATACGCGTGAAGTGAGACAAATTAACGAGAAGCGGCGATTAGTTGCAGAGCAAAAGGCCACACCAAACCTACAAAGAACACCATTTTATTTTATAGATCTTGGCAGTTCAGTGGAGAATATCATGGAAACGGGAGAGAAACTTCTAAATATATTATAGCAATTTGTCATAAGGCAGGTATTCATTAGTTCGTCTTGCAGTGACAGGCCGCGTCTCATAAACTGAGGTAAACTGCTCAAAAGCAAACTTCTCCTACAAGGTCACATACATGAAATGGAACAACTTATATTTAAATTTTTCGGCACTATTTACGTAATTCACTGTCATATATAGATATATTGTGGCTTACCCCTTCCGACTGTGTGAACGAGAACATTACCAAATTACAATAAGTCCAGAACATACTATACAGCGCCCTCAACTGCTCCATCTATGTTCCCTTCTCTGAAATAACTAGCCCATATACATAAATCTGAAATAAAAAATAAAGACGAGTGCATACACTGTATGATACATGCCAAATACGAGCACAATAATAAATCAATTACAAATTGAGTAATTTTTACATAGGTGTATGATTGCTTTTTTCGTTCAGCGCAGTTTTCGTAGTGTAGTGGTTATCACGTTCGCCTCACACGCGAAAGGTCCCCGGTTCGAACCCGGGCGAAAACAATTGTAAACTTCTTTTTTTAGTCAACCCCGATTAACACATCACAAATCCAGAGACACAGTCAGCAGGTTTACCAGCACGTTTACATTTTTTTTTAGTTTCGAATGTGTCGTACATACGGATAATTAGAGAATGTGTTGCTATGATTGTGAGTTTTCAACTTATGTGTGCTATTTTAACAAAATACATAACCGGTTGTTAAAGTCGGTTGATAGGGTGGTATCATTTATATTTCAAAAAAGATGTTAAGCTAGATGATTTAACTTTGTTTTCACTGATTTATTGTAAGCGATCATGAACCTATGAAACATGAATCATAATTTTAGTTGTATGTTATTAGTACTGTATTTTGTGAGGAATTGGTCAAATATATTATACGGTATAAACAAATTGATAAATAAAATAAAACAAAACAAAAAATATTCATGAATTAACAAACAATAACAATACAAAAATAAGCCTAAACCGACATCGGATTTTACTTGAATTGAGATCGAGAAAAATCACACGAAATGGAAAGTGATATAAAAAAACTGTAAATTGCATTCTCCTACATTTTTGGAGCTTTTTCTTAAAAGGTCATAATGTTGTTTGGATTGATGTTTCCTTTAATTACTAAAACTTACTTCACAAAGTGATAAGATCTGAGGATCTATGTCCTACCACTGGTGCCCTATCGGATCTAATTCAGAATTCGTACTGATATCGGTAAGCTCAAGTAAAAAGATGCTTTGGCGAAATTTGAAAGAAAAACTAATCCAGTCTTCCAAACTGGTATTTTTTATAAATTAAATTAAATTTGAATTTTCTTTCCACTAATTTAGTTTTATACGTGCGAGATTATTGGTGCTTTCATCCCATGTCTATTATCATATACACTAGATACCAGCCGACACCCCCGCAAGCTAGGCGTGGCAGTATATTACAGAAGGTGCGACTTGTCGCCCGAATCACCTGTTTTGCGCATGGGCATAAGACAATTGCATTTTCCACTTTGTGCCGCACAGTTCCAATCGTTATTTAAAACTCGGACACATAATATAGATGAATATTCATTGTTTGTACTCAAACACCAGTAATTTTGATATGATGAGCGTTCTGTCTGTGTTCAAATGAATTCTAAATTACCTTTCTAAATTGCTACAACAATTGAATTTTATATTTTAGTTTTATTGCCTCCAACGAGCAAATGCCTGTCACAGTCTAAAATACTATAAAACGATTTATTTTTACCTATATTAGCTATTTTGATGTTTTGGGAAATTAAACTGGGTTCTATGTGCAACTTGTCGCCCAAATCACTTGTTTTGTGCACGTGTATTTGACGCGTACGCTCACATTCAACGTACCCCCTTGTAATTTAGCCCCGGCGCTGATGACAAATTTTCCGTACCCGAAAAAAATTTAATGACAGCCATAACGCAATATGCTGGTATATGTAAATCAAAAT